TTGTCTCTCATAGTTGAGGTCTACCTATGATGTCAATTACAGGCCTCTCTCATCTGTTTAAGTGGGAGAACTTGCACAATTGGTGACTGACTAAATACTTATTTTCCACCATTATTTGCAAAAAAATTCTTTTAAAAAAACAAGACAATGTGATTTTTCTAGATATGTTTTCTCATTTTGTCTCTCATAGTTGAGGTCTACCTATGATGTCAATTACAGGCCTCTCTCATCTTTTTAAGTGGGAGAACTTGCACAATTGGTGACTGACTAAATACTTATTTTCCCCACTGTATGATGGAAATTTAATAAATTTAATTTTATGACATTTTATGATAGTGCCTGCGGTGAAGCTTTAGAAAAATCTATAGTACTTTGTAGAGAGGAGGGTCCAGCTTCATGTTTTGGTAAAGGAAGTGAGACATCTTGTGGCAGCTAAGTGTTTACAAGCAGCAACAACCACAAATCATCTCTGAAACTGTATTTGCTTTATAAAAACATCTTAAGATCCTTATTGTTTCATAACCCACATAAGCCATATTGGGGCCCCAACTCCTAACACTGCTGTTTTATTATCTTTCAGCATTTTTAAAAGCTCCCAGCTACTGTTGTCTTTGGAAAAATACAACTTTTTTATGACAAAACTGCAAGGCGTTATAAGAAAACTGTTAAAAAATGAGTTGCGTGGGGCTTTACAGCTTGTAGCGCTGGGCGGTACGACTAAAAATTTGTATCACATTTTCTTTAAAAGATTCTGGCGGTTTCACTGTATTTTTATTAACTTTTTATTTTTTCCCCTATGATGGCTTTTAAATATGTTTGTTGCTTATTTTACTCTCAGGAGAACAAGGCTTTAAATCAAGACAATATATAAATGAATCAGTATGAAATAAAGAATGTAAACTCTTTTTATTGTGCAGCTGCAAAAAAGCAACATATGAATGAGGTAGTGTGATCCTTCCAAAACAGAATGAGCTTACATCCTATCCAATTGGCAAGTGTGCACAAATTGTTGCAGTTTTGTAGGGTTTATGTTTCTTTATGACATAGTTAATGTGAAATTAAATTCTAAGACATTTTTATTTTACAAAAGGATAACTTTATTATTGTGAGATTATACGTTTTACACACAAATATTGTTTTTCTTTTCTTGGTAAAGAATTTTAAACACCTTGCAAATATAATTTAATGCTCTACTGAACCACAGCTATTTGTTATATTAGTGAAAGTGAAATAACAGCCATTATTTATGTATTTTTTTTCTGTAGCTGTTTATTTGTTGAATTATTTTTCAGTCACTTTAAAATTATACACTTTTTATGTTAATAAAAAAATTGTGATAATCAAGATTGGACGATATGAAGAAATCAATAATGATTTTTTTTTTGCCATACTGTCCAGCCCTACTATGCATAGATGTTGTTACTGCATTCATAAAGTTGCTCCACCACCTGCTTTTCCAATCATATGTTGTCTCTCGAGAAAATGCCTGTTCAAGCTGTGCATGAGCCTTGGGCTTAACTGTTTCACTGCTGCTACCGGTTGATGACAGCGTTGAACCTGATGACTGTATCAACATAAATTCTTTGTATTTCAACACGTTTTCTGCTGAGGTGATGGAATAAATTGCTAGTGTTACCACCACCGACAGCAACAGTGGCATGACAAACTTTACAATATGCACTTTTGGTCTGCGTCTGTTTTTTTTAAAACCAAAAAACTTCCAAACTACAGACACAGCTCCCGTTTTGAGCACAAATTCTTCATTTATATCTTCATCTTCTTTATCTGCCGTGTGTTTTCTGTTCTTTACTCCAACTTACAACCAGCTATTAGCTAATAGATTGTTAGCAAAAATACCGTTGCAGTGGTGTTGTTTCATGCAGCGCTTCTAGTGATGAACAATATAACAAATTGCTGCACGTTGAAGCATTAAATCTGTTTTCTCAGCTTTGTCGCAGTGTGGTGGTACATTCACACCGTAGGGGAAATTAACAATATAAACAATAATATAAATAAAATGTGTAAAATGCTCTTCAAGTAAACAGCGTAATAACACTGCATTACTGTCTAAACAACAGAGTTTCTGTGAGTACCATTCATGAGAGCCTGCTGAAGCACAGCAGAGAGGGAGGGGAATCACCCACCACATATGCTCCTTCACATTTTTAAGCTAGCTTTGTCAAATCACATTTTGTTTTAATAACTTTCTTTTCCTCTAAATTCTGAATTCTCTCTGAAAAATGAAGGTTGCTCTCACACTGACCTGCAGTATTAGAGGGGGCAGCAAAGCTGAAAGTGGACCCTGGTGCTGCAGCGCTTGTTGTGGTCGTCCCAAAACCACCAAATGTTCCTGGAAAACAAAGCGAACGACAATGAGCATTCTGATGAAAGAAGTGAGAGGAGAAAAAAGGATGAAAGGAAAATGGCAAGAAATCACTTAACATAAACCATAAAGAATATGGTAGAAACACATCTTTGGGACAAAACATATTAATAAAAACTGAGTTTTATGTAAAACACAGGTGAAAATGTGCCAGATTTTCAGTCATTAAATAAGACAAATGCATAAACATGCATGCAAATTAAATGAAACTTGATTGATTAATAAGAATCACCAGGAGAGATGAAAACATAAAATCATTGCACCACATGGAGGTGGATAAAAAAAAGAAAAAATAATAATATTTTACAAACACAAAACATACTTAATCACTGAGGTCATCTACCTGTGCCAGCCAGACTATTACCAAAATTGAAAACAGTGCCAGCAGTGGTTGCTGCACAAAAGCACCCTGCATTAAAGCTGATTGCTGCTGGGTTGGCATTTAAACCAAACCCCCCAAAACTAAACCCACCAGCCGTGGTGTTTCCAGCTCCAAGCCCCCCAAATCCTGCAGCCAAAGCAGGCAGGCAGCGGGAAAGAGAGAGTGACATGGAGGAGTTAAATGACACAATGCCAGAACTAACATTATTGCTAAAACAGTCTTCAAGGGACTTAAAAAAAACAGACCAACCAAAATACAAAACAAAACAAGGAAACATTGCAACAGCTATATGCTTTAAAAATATGCATCTTACCAGTGTTGGTGGAGCCAAAACTAAACCCAGTGGCTGGTGCAGAGGTGGTGGTCGCTGCCCCAAAACTAGGAGCTGTTAAAGCTTTTTTTCCAGACAAACAGAAAACAAACAAGTTGTCAAAACATACATGCAAATAAATTAGTTTGTACCCTTACAACTCATTGGAAAAAAGATTTAGTCCTTGTGAAAAGTGATTCAGTTAAAAGTAACCGTCTATATCAGCGTGCCTTTAATATATAATAGAATAAATAAAAATGTGAAATGAAATTAAGGTTTAATTTACAACAATATGTATGCTAAGATAGAATGGAGAGACTTGTTGGTATCCTTAAGAGATATAAATGCAGATGGTAGGGGTTGGCGATGCATCGAATATACTCTATGTATCCCGAGTTTTTCAATGTACGATGGTTAAAATGGCTTTTATCGCAACCATCAAGTATAAATTATCACGCAAACAATAAGCTGCGTCCCTGCAAGTTTTGCATTTCCGAAACACTTGAACGCATCACTAGCCCCCTCCTCTCTGGATACAGAGAGAGGAGCATGCGTGCTCAGGGAAAACATGGTGGCAGCGGGAGATCCCGGGTGAGCATGTGAATGAGACTAAAACTGAAGACAACTCAGATGAACTAGTTCTGTAGAGAAACAGCACTGTATCAATAATCTGACAGTGGTTTGGATTTCATAAAGAGAACGTTGAAAAAAATGCGGTAATTTGCAAAAACATGCAGGTCTGGATCAGTCAATTTTACCGTCACTGTTTATATTTTATATATATATTGCTGTATTTTAAAGCCATCAAATTTTTTGTTTTTAAATTTTTTTATATTAAAAGCACAAGAGCACCTTTTTAAATTTCAATGGTTTACTTTTCCCTTTTGCTTGATGTACTTTTTTGCTGCTATGGTCCATTTATTTTTGAATTTATTAAAGATCTAGAGTGTAGACAACAAAAAGACTGGCAATAATTCCATTTGTAAAAAAACTTATGAGTGAAACTGATGGTTAAAATGGTTGAAATAAAACATTTATAATTGTTCAGATTCAGTATTCAAATTTTTTTCATCAATTTTCGAGGCATCATNGTCAGTAATTGCATTTGTAAAAAAAACGTATGTGTGAAACTGATGGTTAAAATGGTTAAAGTAAAACATTTATATTTGTTCAGATTCAGTATTCAAAATTTTACATCTTTTTTTTTTATAACTTTTTCATTGATTTTGGAGGTACTGTAAATTCGTGTATTGTGATATAGCCAAAAATTATTGGGATATAAGATTTTCCTCATATCGCCCAGCCCTAGCAGATGGTAGAAAAAAATAAAATCGAAGGAAACCATCCAGTTCCAGTTGAACTCCAAGGTCAAGGTACATGACTTTCTGATCACTTTCTGATCGCAATATCTGTTAAATTTTGAATAATATCAGGCTTCATGGAAGACAACCCAGGATGTCTTCACTACTGACCAAAACAACCAGCAAAAAGGTAAACAGGAATCTGCCTGTTGACAAGTCCCAAAGCTTCAGGGACTGTTGTGGTGTTTTTTTTAATTACAAGGAAAAGGTACCAACAAATTTAACCATGTCTATATGTGAAGAGATCTGCATCTGTGACTGGTAACAACTACACTGGAGATTTGTAAAAGAGTTTCTTTTCAGCATGAACGTAGTTTTAGATGTCCAAAAAATGACCAGTCAACATTAGAAGGATGCATTTGTGAAAGCCCAATATACATAAAAGAAAAGCTCAAGTCAGGTAACTACTCTAGGTTTCCAGTCTAGTTACTAAATGTTGAAACTTTCTTACAAATGTGTTATGTGTGTTGTGTTTACTAATAGGAATGGTACATTTGAATAGCAAGGAGGAAGACAGTTGTGTTAGTTCATGTTCAGGACGAGTTTGTAAAACAGGTGATGTGCGAAATTCAGTTCCCCTGTGAAAATCGGATCCCCCTACCTGATCACTGGTTCAGGTAGGGGGAACAGATTTCCACAGGGAAACTGAATTTCGTACAACACCGGGACTTACTGCCGAACCCTGAGGAGGCGGTGGTGGTTGTAGCTGTCGGGTTGAAACCAAACGTTGTTGGAGCTGTTGTCTTGGCACCAAATGAGCCAAATGAAAACCCGGACGTGCCTTCAAAACAACACAAAAATACAAGTGTTGGGCTAAATCTCAGACTCAGATTCAGACTTTTACTGTTTAGCAAACCCAGCGTCATGTAGCAGCAACGATGCTAGTAAAGCCGGGAGGTTGTTTTGGACTAAAACGTGCACAAGATATTAAACGAGTTACCATATGTGTGACTAAATAAAGTTATAAATGAAAAAAAAAATGTGTCGTACCATAAGATAGTCATTAGTTTATTATTTGGCCATGAACACGTCGACGGTGTTACATCACAACAGCTGCCTTAGCTCGACATGTCATTGGCTCACTAGTACTAAATATTACAAATGCACTCACCATAAAGTCATGCAAATTTTATAATTGCATTCTACATATCCAGAGCCTAACAGAAAATACAAAATTTAAGTAAAGAATGCCCTTACTTGGCGCTGTGTTACTCGTGGCGCCGCCAAAACTGAACGCCATGTTGACAACCGCTGACTTTCTTCTTCGCTTTTTCCCTCCACTTCCGGTTCAGACAGGCAGCACAACACCGCCACCTGGTGTCCGGAATACAGAAAGCTACTGCAGGACTGCAGAGCAACTGAACTGTGCATGTTTTAGAATGACCTGAAAATTGGAGATCAAAACCAAAATTTTTATTTCTAAAACTATCACGTAACGAAAAAGGGGATGATAAAAACATAAGCTAACTGAGCTTAGAAACCATAGAAATGCCCGTTATTTAAATGTGGCATGTTTTATTGATTGATTTTAGTACAGTGTATATAAATATGTCATTCTTTGGCTAGCAGAGGTAACTTTTCTCTCTTCATATTCACCAAACTGAGAGGTGAAAGTTGTAATAAAAGAGGGGACAAGACACATCTACTCAAACTACTTTTTATTTCTGTGTACAGAGTAAAAACAGCAATAACAGTCATTTCATAACAGGCTGATAATCAGAGGAATTTTGTGGTTGTAGCAGTAACAATATTTTTACAAGACAATTGAAGAACTAAAATTTGGCACAAAGTAGCTCAGTTTAGAGTCTAAGTGGTGCTCTCAGTGTTTTGGTTTTGTCAGTGTAACAAAATATATCCTCTTTCATCTAAACTAGACTAATATTGTATAATACTGTGCATCTTGCTTTTAAAAAAACAAGAGTTATCTATTAAGTCAGCCCTCTTATTTTAAAACTACTAAATATCTCCATGATATTTATTGTCTTACTTCTGGGTTTTGTTATTAAATAGAATTGGATTAAACACTGATTCAAAGTGAAATAGTAAAATCAGATGAATAAGGAAAAAAAAACTATCTAATTTATACATTGATAACATTGTGTGAGTAATGGGCTGGGATGAAATAAGTCCTGAAATGTTACGACAAATAGAAACAACAATAAAAGCCGAGGCTCATCACAGTTTAACTTGAATCATTCCACAGCATGTTCTTTTTTTCAGTTGATATTACATCAAAAATGACCAGAAAACAAACATTTTCAGTCTCCTGGAAATACAGTAAAATACCTTTTATGAGTTTTATGTTCTATTTTCAGAAAAAAAAGCACTTGAAAGTCGATGGGCATGACACTTTCTTCATTAAAAAAAATAAAAGGAACAAAAATAATCCTGTTCCTTTTAAAACTACAGCATTTCTAAAAAGAAAGGGTTTTATTCTGAATACTCATGTTAGTAAAAGCATTTATAAAAAGCATCCATCAGGTTTTTAAGGCATTATGATGGCTGATAAAACTGTGGCTCATAAAACTACAGTTCGTAGCTCAAACTTAAATTTGTTGCTTGAACTGGATATGTTCTACATTCAAATATTTCTCCATTAACATACACAAAAACAAAAGGTTGCTTTATTTTACAAAAAAAATTATCCAAATACGAAGTGTTTTGTTTGACCTTTTTCTTTATCACACTGATAGGAATAAAGCAGCACAAAAAGCAGCACAAAAATCTTTCAGGTAACAATGACGAGTGCAGCTCTGAATGCAGTCTGAGCACAAACTAATGAACCACTAAAAGTTTTTGCAACACTGAATTTAGAGAAGGCACGCTGGAAAAGAATAATACTGAGCAGATTGTTACGACTCACAGCTTCACCTTTTTCCTGATTTACTAGTTTGACAGCATCTAATCAGTAACCCCCGAGAATATATAACCCCATAAAAAAACACTACATTTATAGATGTCCATACGCTGCATCCCTAAACGGATGTTTATCTGGAAGTGGTAAATTTATCTGAACGCACTGAGCTCAAAGTGACAAACAGATGGAGAGCACAGCACCAAGGACACATTTTGTTTTAGAGAAAGTGCTCTCTATATCTTTAATCAATAACTAGTGGGGAATAACTCCACAAAGTTAGGCATTAAGAAGTCAAACAATTTTTTTGTGTGTGCTAAATATGGACATTTTTACACACAAAAAACTATCATTTGTGTTCAAATTTAAATCTTTCTCTGCGAGCCCCTTTTTCGGCGACTTCCTCCTCAAGCCTGCGGGTCAGCTTTGGGTGTCATGCCGATGTAGTTTCCATTTTTAGGATCATCTATGTCTTTGACATTGGCTGGAGAGTAAGAGGTGCCGTCTTCCTTTGAAGTCTGTGGTGGAAGGAAGAAGAAAGTGGTGAAAAGTTGCACTTAAAAAAATTGTGATTTTTAAAAGGAAATCTGTAAAAATGTGTACTGTGCAAAAGTGATGAGGTCTCCATCTTTATCAGGAAAACAAAAGTATTTAAAAAATATGATACTGATTTTGTCTGTGTGTTCATTTGCCTGTTGTGTCAGCAAAATATCTCATCTCAACTGTGTGGATTTTAATGGAACCATTAGTACTGGATGTACATCTATAACTGGTTAATCTTTTGAGGTCAATCCAATTCAAGATGGCCACCACAGCTAACCAACATTTAAAGCACAACGTTAAAACTATGACTGATACACATTCCTCTAAGGAATCCTTGGCCTTATATTTCTTAAAATTTTGCTTCCAGGGAACCAAACATTCTTTATAAATTTCCTTGCAATCTTCTAAAGGCATCTTGATTTCTCCAAGGTTTTATAAAAACTGCTTGAAAGAGCTTTAAAAATCCCAGAGACCTATTGATGAAGACCATTTTAAATGATCAGAAGAAAGTCAGGCTCCGTCCATCCGTCCGTTTTCTTCCTCTTATCTGGGGTTGGGTTGTGTGGGCAGCAGCCTAAGCTGAGAGACTCAGACTTCCCTCTCTCCAGCCACTTGGGCCAGCTCCTCTGGGGGAATCCCAAGGTGTTCCCAGGCCAGCTGAGAACCATAGTCCCTCCAGTGTATCCTGGGTCTTCCTCGCAGCCTCCTCACAGTGGGATGTGTCCAGAACACCTCACCAGGGAGGCGTCCAGGAGCATCCTAACCAGATGCCCGAGCCACCTCAACTGGCTCCTCTCGACGTGGAGGAGCAGCGGCTCTACTCTGAGTCCCTCCTGGATGACCAAGCTTCTCACCCTATCTCTAAGGGAGAGTCCAGCCACCCTGCGGAGGAAACTCATTTCAGTCGCTTGTATCCGTGATCTCGTTCTTTCGGTCACTACCCAAAGTTCGTGACCATAGATGAGGGTAGGAACGTAGACCGACTGGTAAATCGAGAGCTTTGCCTTCTGGCTCAGCTCTCTTCACCACAACAGACCGGTACAGTGCCCGCATCACTGCAGATGCAGCACCAATCCGACTGTTGATCTCCCGCTCCATTCTTCCCTCATTCGTGAACAAGACCCTGAGATACTTAAACTCCTCCACTTGGGGCACGACTTCCTCCCCGACCCGGAGAAGGCACCCTACCCTTTTCCAGCTCAAGACCACGGTCTGGGATTTGGCTGCACTGATCCTCATCTCGGCCGCTTCACACTCGGCTGCGACCCACTCCAGTGAGAGCTGCAGATCACGATCTGATGAAACCAACAGGACCACATCATCGRCAAAAAGCAGAGATGTGATCCTAAGGTCACCAAAACAGATCCCCTCAACACCTTGGCTGCGCCATTGAGCTGAAAGTCAGGCTCATTTGAAGCAATGTAAAAGAACAAATGTGTTTGATAAAAATAGTACTGTAGGGAGATGACATTGCAATGAAAAACACTTCCTTTTCTAATAATCTTAAAGCGTGTTGGTATAATGAAATGTTAATCTGTTAAAACCAGAGGTAAAAGCTGTCTTTGTTCTGTGTATAGAAAAAATATAGGTAAATGGTGCATTATAGGGCAATGATTAATAAGACAGATTGATGAAAATCAAAAAGCATCAAAACAACAAAAAATAAAATAAATAAATAAAATAAACGAAACCAAACAAAACGATGAAGACTTACAGAATACAAAGCCTTGGTAAACTCAGTGCACTTAACTTCCTTCTGCACAGAGATACACAGTGATAACATGCTCAGTGCTATTAGTGGGTGGTTAAGCAAACGAACAAATGTGAATTAACACAAATTACTTATTAGAAGCAACATGCAAGTCGTTAAGAGTTAGGTTCAGCAACAAGTGGGAGGCAATACCTTCTGTCTGTGGGCCCGGAAGAGAAGGATGATGAAGATGAGCAACATGGTCCCACCCAGCCCAACAATAAAGAACGGAAAGTTGGACACCAGATTAACAATCATCAGCAGTTTCTGCACTTTTGCTGCAGATACATCATCAATCACCACACTCTGAGAAAAAAAACAAAACAGCATTCGTTAGATGACAATAAACTGAATGCGTAATATTCTTAAGTATTTATAGTCTTCACTGTAAAACCCAATAGCATTTCTTACTAATAGTTATTTGTTATCCAGTTACCGAAAAAGGATGTGTCGCCACAAGTTCAAGAAATTGACACTAATATTGCATGGCTGCACTGAGTTAAAATATCAACATACAGTTGTGGTCAAAAGTTTACATACACTTGTAAAAAAACATAATGTTATGGCTGTCTTGAGTTTTCAATAAGTTCTACAACTCTTATTTTTCTGTGATAGAGTGATCGGAACACATACATGTTTGTCACAAAAAACAGTCATAAAATTTGGTTCTTTCATAAATTTATTATTGCTGAAAATGTCACCAAATCTGCTGGGTCAAAAATATACATACAGAAACAAAAT